AGGCCAAGTAATTGGCCCAGAGAGTTTGATTGGTTGATGAAGAAGTGAACCAGCCCAGTGGAATAGTAACACATCCCCCATGGCAAGATAAGCAGTTGCTTTCATAAGCAAGGAAACTTATGAACTTCACTCCAGTTTGAGATGCTTAGTTGCCCAGCCCGTTAACAGCCCACCAAGGAGGATCCGACCCGATGCCTATTTTCAGTTTCCCTTTATAAATCGGCCTAAGTCCTTATAACTTGGCCCAACTGCTGCCTTAATTCTCTCCAGCTGCAGCCCCCATCATCGGGAACCCATGATAAAATGCTTATCTTCATCGGGGGCTATCCCGTACCGGAGTGGATCGAGGTGGCCGATCGGGAGGCTGGCTGATTCAGGTGACCTATACTTGTTGGCAGATGACTCAACGTGTCCCGTTAGGGAGCCTGCGTGGAAACTCGTGCTCGAGGTGGTTTCCTTCCTCCAAGTTGTAAGCCCGGAAACAATAGCCGATCAATACCAAGGACGAGTAGCATAGCTCTGGTGTGGACTGTCGGGCTTGATTGCCGTTCGGCAAGACGCAGCCCATCCAATAAGGAGATGCCAGATGGGATGATGCCGGATGGGATGATGTCGGACGGGATAACGCAGGACTTGACGATGCCGGACGGGATGATGCTGAACGAGATGAGGCCGGATGGGTAAACGAATCACTTGATGATGCCAGACGGGATGACGCAGGGGGCGATCGGCTGAGAGAAGCTGATACGTCTGTTAGAAATTCGATATAAAATAGTATTAATAAATGTGAGTTTAGTCAGATAAAATCCCGAGTTTAATCACAAATCACCAGACAAACCACCAAATGCAAGAACGAATAAAACAGAAGCAATAATTAGAAATAAAATATTAAAATAAAAGTAGAGAAAAGAAAACTTAGTGTAAGATCGTCCGTTAACCGGACTGGCCTTGAAGAAAGATAGCCCCCGTATCTCGATAGCTACTCGAACGGGACTGGCCAACTCGCTCCCAGGATAATCCTACCTCTGTTCCGGTCCTTTAGCTTGCTTGACAGAAACACTTCGACCGTTGCCCGATTGCCAATTTAATAGAGATGAGCCAGAAAAGAAATGAAGTATAAACTATGGAAATTTATTTTTTTCTTCTCGGATAAGATCTAATTAAGCTTCTCACGAAGAGGAAAAATCAAAGAGCTTTTTAAGAGTGAAGAGCTTTTGTTCGTGGGTGACTTCAGTGAACCAAGAAAAAAACAATAATGCTGGCAACAGAACCGTTTTGTACGTGAGAATATGCTAGGCTTGCTGCGGGGTGATTTATTTGGAAATCATATATATACATATACGAGAGTAATGGGTCAAGTTTGATTGCTCCTATAATATTGCCACAATCCATTAAAATAGGATCAAACCCAACTAAGTATGACTTAGCTCTTTTGATTTCAAATTTTTAAAATTCAAAAGTGCACGTTCATGTTCCAACTTAGTCAAGCATGCAATATGACTTGAATCAATTAAACTTTCGTAGACTTCAACTTTTATTAATAAAAATTAATCCAGAATTTTTGTCCCCAATAATTAAATGGCCGGCTTTTTGACTTGGAAGTATTTGTATACTAACCAATCATTTGATCCCATTAAGTCACCTTATATGATACTTGAATATTATTCCTTATCATATAAAAGTACCATTTATTTTAAATATTGGACAATAAATTCTTCAAATCAATACATCACTTTTACAACTTTTACAACTATGGATTCTAGTCATTAAATGAAATCGATCCGAACATGTAATTAAGTTGTTCTCCAATGTATAATAACCCACCTCCAATTCATATATTATACAATTATTTATTTAATCATATTTCCAACAATCCCCCACAATTCCATAGTTGTCGGCTCAACTCTAAAAGACATAATGTGCTTTCAAATATGGTACCTTCCGGTTTGAACCAACTTCTAAGCTTTTACACTTAACCCCCACAGGAACAGAGTGAACAGAGTTCTTGAACTCGAACCTTGGTAGTGTTGGCGTGGGATAAAAGCAACACACTAACGGTAATGACAACGATCTATAGGGTTGACGCTTTACGGCCGTGCGTCCGGATCCTGTCTCAAGAATGTCATGGAGAATTAACCCTTGTTCTCTTATTGCGGCCACACAATAACATTCTCATAGTTGGGCATCTCCAAGAGTGCATTGCTAACACTCTGCTTTAAAGCTCGATCCCATTCAGAGTCTTAAACTCTTACTTACTTAGCAATTTCAGCATCTCTCAGGCTTATCAAGGAATAGAACTCATAACATATTTTAATGAGATGCACAATTCACACTACGGTTTGTTTATACCACATTGAACCTACTTTATGGGATCTCCACTCAGATAGGTTGGGTTGCTACCGTAGTTGAATAATTACTGGGTTTCAGTCCCATTCCTAACCTGGATTTTATCACTTGATTTAAATCAAGTCCTTTTGTTAAAGGGTCTGCTGTATTATCTTTGGATCCGACAAAATCAACAGCAAACACCCCTTGAGACACAAATTTCCTTATAGTTTTTAATCTAACTTGAATGTGTCTCCTAGTCTTTTGATTATACTTGGTACTCCTAATTTTTGCAATTGTGCTCATACTATCACAATGCAAACAAATAGGTGGAATTGGCTTGCTGAATATAGGTAACTCAGACATTAGTCCCATAAACCATTCAGCCGTAATTCCTGTAGTATCCAATGCACATAATTCAGCCTCAAAAGTAGACCGAGAAAGTATCGTTTGTTTAGTAGACTTCCAAGCAACAGCCCCACCACCAAACGTAAACACATAGCCGGTACATCCATAACTCCCGGAATTCTTAGCTATCCAGCTTGCATCACTATATCCCTCAAGAACAGGAGGATAGTTATCGTAATGCAAACACAAGGAAATGGTTCCTTTTAAGTATCTAAATACTCTATCTAAGGCCTCCCAATGAGTTCTGTTTGGACAACAAGTGTACCGGCTCAACTTAGACACCGAAAACGCAATATCGGGTCTAGTACAGTTAGCTAAGTAACCCAAGCTACCGATCATCTGAGAATATCTTAATTGAGACACAGGAACACCACTTTCATTTTTATACAAAGCTACTGAAGGATCATAGGGTGTTTTAGCAATTCTACTATTTTTAAATCCAAATTTCTCAATTATTTTTTCAATATAATGCGACTGAGAAATAGAAATGCCTTCAGTTGATCTAGTCAACTTTAGCCCAAGAATTACTTCAGCCACCCCCATATCCTTCATTTCAAACTTTGTTTTCAAAAATGACTTAGTCTCAAATAATACTAATATCACCTTTACATTTATAATAAACACTTTGATCAGCATCTATAAGAGTAAATCCAAACGAAGAAATTATTTTATCAAATTTTTCGTTCCATTGCTTAGGGGCTTGCTTAAGTCCATATAAAGACTTAACTAATTTACAAACTTTTCTCTCATTGCCTTTTGCCACAAATCCCTCAGGCTGATCCATATAAATTTCTTCTTCAAGGTCACCATGAAGAAAAGTTGTCTTAACATCCATTTGATGAATTTTAAGACCATATACGGAGGTCAATGCTATAAGCATTCTTATTGTGGTCATTCTTGCAACCGGAGCATATGTATCGAAAAAATCAATACCTTCTTTTTGTTTGTAACCCTTAGCAACTAATCTGGCCTTATATTTATCAATGGTTCCATCCGGTTTTAATTTCTTCTTAAAAATCCATTTACATCCAATAGTAGTGCACCCCGAAGGAAGATCAACGAGCTCCCATGTTCCATTTTGAACAATAGAGTCCATTTCACTTTTAATGGCATCCTTCCAATGCATGGCTTCAGATGTAGCCATTGCATCTCTAAAGGAAAGTGGATCACCCTCAATATTGTAAGTGATAAAATCACTTCCAAATTCCTTAGTGATCCTAGCCCGTTTGCTCCTTCGGGGCTCATCTAGTTCTTTTGATTCAAAACTAGCGTGACTAGTACTACTAGATTCTACCCCCACATTTGTCATCTTTTCCACTTGATCAGGAATTGAATTAAATGTGGTTTCTTGATTTTTAAAAGAAATATTTTGGGGCACACCCGTTTTCATTGGAAAAACATTTTCAAAGAAAGTAGCATCACGAAGTTCTATAATAGTATTAACATCTATGCCAGAAATTTCAGATTTAATAACCAAAAACCTCAATGCATAAGAATGTTCAACATAACCAATAAAAATAGCATCAACAGTTTTAGGCCCAAGTTTCTTTCTTTTGTGTTCAGGGACTAATACTTTTGCAAGACAACCCCACACTTTAAAATATTTTAAACTTGGTTTTCTGCCTGTCAAGAGTTCAAATGGACACTTATCTTTATGTTTCATGGGAATCCTGTTCAAAATATGACAGGCCGTATTCAAGGCTTCCCCCACATAAACTTAGGTAATCCAGAGTTCTCTAATAAACCGTTAATCATATCTTTAAAAGTTCTATTTTTCCGTTCAGCTACTCCATTTGATTGTGGTGAATAAGGAGGTGTTTCTTCATGTACTATACCATATTTTTGGCATTCTAGTACAACTAAATTAGAGGTGTACTCTCCTCCCCTATCGGATCTTAACCTTTTAATTTTCTTGCCAGTTTGATTCTCTATTTCATTCTTAAAAATTAAGAATTTTTCAAGAGCTTCATCTTTACCCTTAAGTAGATACACATAACAGTATTTAGAATAATCATCAATAAAAGTGATAAAGTATTTCTTTTTGTCACGAGTTAGCACTCCATTAAACTCACAAATGTCGGTATGAATTAAATCAAGTAATTCTGAATTTCTATCAATTGAATGATAAGGTTTTCTCACTTGTTTTGTAGTAGCACATACCATACATTTCTTAGTTTTATCAATTGAGTGTTTAGGAATTAAATTTAAATTCATCATTCTTTTCACAGAATCTAAATTAACGTGACCCAAACGATAATGCCATAAAGTTGAAGAATCACAATTCTCAGATACATAATTTAATTCATAATAATCAACCACAATCTTAAAAAGTCCATCTGACAAGTAACCCTTGTCAATAAATGTTCCACCAAATAAAATTACAACTTTATTTAATTTAAAAGACAATTCATAACCCTCCCTTACAAGAATGGAACCACTAACAATGTTCCTTCTAATTTCGGGAACATGATGCACCCCATGCAAAGATAGAATTTTTCCCGAAGGAAATTTTATTTCCACTTTTCCAACTCCATGCACACTACCAGCACTTGTGTTTCCCATCATCACTGTTCTTCCAACCGCTGGCTGATAAGAAACAAAGAGCGATTTATCAGCACATACATGCACATTCGCTCTTGTATCTATTAGCCACTCATTGGAATTATAAATAGTGAAAACTTGAGGGTTAAAAGAAACATACCCATCAGAACTAGTTCCTCCAGTCACCATGTTGACTTGAGGTCCACCAGATTGAGCCTTAGCCTTTTTATTTGGGCATAATTTGGCCCAATGCCCCATCTGTCCACAGTTCCAGCATGGACGGTTTGCCTTTGGTTTCTTTGCAATTTTTAATTTGGCCTTTATTGGTTTAAAAGATGATGGTTGTTTATTCTTAGAATTTTGTGACTGTTTTCCCACGGTTACAACATGAGCCTTTGGCTGAAATTCAACAGGAACAATGTAACCCGCTTTCTTATGTTCTTCCTCAACAGTAATGGAATGCATCAAAGATTTCCAAGTTATCTTTTTCATTTTGTGTTTTAAAGTCAAACCAAAATATTCCCACGATTTGGGGAATTTTTCAATTACAGCCATGACTTTAAATTTTTCAGGCAATTCCATATCTGCTTCACGGAGAGAATGTAAGATAAGCTCAAATTCTTGTGTTTGTTCTAAAACAGATTTTCCCTCCTTCATGTCGAATCTCAAGAATTTGGAAACAATATACTTTTCGAGACCATGGTCATCAGTATTATATTTCCTATCCAGCTCATCCCAAAGGTCTTTAGCCGTGCCGTGGAGGGTGCAATAGACATCAAATAACATGTCGGAGAGTCCCAACAATATCATTCCTTTGGCTATTTCATTCCTCTCACGCCATAAAGCTTGGCGTTCAAGACTCTTGGGATCAGATTCGACAACGGGGGGACACACCGTCATAATTACCGAGATCAATCCCTTGGTGATTAACCAAATTTTCATGCGTTGTTGCCAATGCTTGAAAAAATGCCCTGAAAATTTTTCGGGCATTCCGGTCAAATCAACCCTGTGAGAGCCCGTGGCAACAAATTCAGGTGTGTCTTCAGAATTAGTCACAGACACAGAATTAACATTATTTTCAGGGATTTCATTCACATTATTCTCAACAACAACATTTTCGGAAGTAGCAGCATTTTCCAAGTTCGTCATATTGGATTTTCAAAACTCAAGAAATAATATCTTTCTTCAAGATTGTTAGAAATTCGATATTAAATAGTATTAATAAATGTGAGTTTAGTCAGATAAAATCCCGAGTTTAATCACAAATCACCAGACAAACCACCAAATGCAAGAACGAATAAAACAGAAGCAATAATTAGAAATAAAATATTAAAATAAAAGTAGAGAAAAGAAAACTTAGCGTAAGATCGTCCGTTAACCGGACTGGCCTTGAAGAAAGATAGCCCCCGTATCTCGATAGCTACTCCAACGGGACTGGCCAACTCGCTCCCAGGATAATCCTACCTCTGTTCCGGTCCTTTAGCTTGCTTGACAGAAACACTTCGACCGTTGCCCGATTGCCAATTTAATAGAGATGAGCCAGAATAGAAATGAAGTATAAACTATGGAAATTTATTTTTTTCTTCTCGGATAAGATCTAATTAAGCTTCTCACGAAGAGGAAAAATCAAAGAGCTTTTTAAGAGTGAAGAGCTTTTGTTCGTGGGTGACTTCAGTGAACCAAGAAAAAAAACAATAATGCTGGCAACAGAACCGTTTTGTACGTGAGAATATGCTAGGCTTGCTACGGGGTGATTTATTTGAAAATCATATATATACATATACGAGAGTAATGGGTCAAGTTTGATTGCTCCTATAATATTGCCACAATCCATTAAAATAGGATCAAACCCAACTAAGTATGACTTAGCTCTTTTGATTTCAAATTTTTAAAATTCAAAAGTGCACGTTCATGTTTCAACTTAGTCAAGCATGCAATATGACTTGAATCAATTAAACTTTCGTAGACTTCAACTTTTATTAATAAAAATTAATCCAGAATTTTTGTCCCCAATAATTAAATGGCCGGCTTTTTGACTTGGAAGTATTTGTATACTAATCAATCATTTGATCCCATTAAGTCACCTTATATGATACTTGAATATTATTCCTTATCATATAAAAGTACCATTTATTTTAAATATTGGACAATAAATTCTTCAAATCAATACATCACTTTTACAACTTTTACAACTATGGATTCTAGTCATTAAATGAAATCGATCCGAACATGTAATTAAGTTGTTCTCCAATGTATAATAACCCACCTCCAATTCATATATTATACAATTATTTATTTCATCATATTTCCAACAACGTCAAGTACTATGCCGCCCTGGTCCCGATCGGTGATAATGTCCGGAGGTAGCCTGAGCCGGGCAGCCATTGGTTTTGCGGATTGCCAGTGCAAGGCAAGGGATGCATGCCGGGCGGTGGGTTGTGCTCCCTTATCGCATCCTTGACCAGGTTGGCGCTAAGATAGAAGGTTTCACTACTCTGGTCAGCTACTTGGGATTCCAGGGCTCCCCGTTCGGTGCATTGGGAGTTAACTGCTGGTCTGCGATTCAGGATTCTGTTCAACCTTATCAGCACGTTCGGGATTGGGTCCAAGTTAATCGGAGGAATGTCCCTGGGGCTAGCCTCTCCCCATCCCAGGGTTGAGCACCGGTTTACAGGGGAAGTGTAAGGGAGTGTGTTCGGGAACTCTCGTTCGGCCAGAATCGCAACTGTTGTGGAGAGACACAATTTTATCGCTAACAGCTGGCACCAGTGGACCCCATGACCCATCCTCTTCCTTCTGCCAAGGAGTTGTGGTCCGTTGGTTGGTCTCTTCAGCGAGCGGTTCAGATGCTACTTTCATGGATGGGTTTTAATGGGTTTCTGCCGGGGTAAACTATATGGGTTTGATTTTCATGTAAAAACTCCTTCCTCCGTGGATCCAACGACCAAGCGTTCCAACCCTCAACCAACACCCCTTCCTTCTTACTTTGACCAGGGTATCTGGTTCGATTTCTTCACCAAAATCAAGAACAACATGTTATGCTTTTTTATCTTTTCCCACAGACGGCGTCAATGTTGAGATTTAGTCCCGTAGATCCAGAAGCACAACATAAACTTCGGATATTAAGGACGATGAATTCAGTACAAAAGCAAATAAATATATAAAAGTGTATGAACTAGCTATTTTTACGTGGAAAACCGGAAATGAAGTCCAGTACCATTTCTTCTCCTTTTATAGCTTATTTCATACTCCATTAATGGAGGTTCTACACTTGTACTATGTAAAATGATGAGGAGAGCATATTAATGAGAAAGAGCAGGCTTGGACGTTAGCCAAAAAAGAGAGCCCATTACCAGGAAGCAAGGCTTCCTATTTATAGAATGGGGGAGGGGGGAGGGGGCTTTCTAGCCTAATGGGCCTAACGGGCCAAAACCACCCCAAGTAGGCCGAGCGGGCCTAAATGGCTCTAAATGGGCCCGAGGGGCATAAATGGGCCTCGCCAACTGGGGTCCATATCGGGTGAAGCCTTGGACCTCTGAACAGTAACAGGTCGGGGTAGTATACCTCAACAAGTTTCGTTTTTAGTCTGATCTCAAGGCGTATGATCGAGTAATGTGTTATGGTGTTTCTTGCTTGTCTCTTGTGTTTGATCTTATTACTATTTGGTTGGATTCTATGATTTTAATATAAACCATTTTTTCTCAAAAAAATAAACTGTCATGTTACTATAACAATAACAATTTCATTACGATGTGGAAAATTGTGGAATTTTAAGATTGAAAACGGCAGCATCCTTCAATCCGTAATCATTGCATTTTGAAATTTAATTGTGACATTTTCATGTCGCAATCACATGGTTACGTGGGAATACAATCAGGAAAATGTGAAAATGATCTCATGTGAGATGTTTATAGAATTTTAGTATTTTCTGTCTTAAAGTTGTGATCTTTTAATTTTTTTGGAAGGCACGTTACATTATCCTTATCTGTCAAGACGTCAAGAATTAAAATACTTCGTATTAATTTACATATAAACTATTGTATTATTTTGACATTTTAATATGAGATATTAGGAGAACGGTTGAAGTCCCACACCGAAAATTGTGAAATAACAAAATGCTACATTAAAATCTGAGCTACTCTTCTTATCATTTTAACCTATAAATCTATTACAATAAAATTTCAAATCTTAACTAGAACCGTCATATTTTAATAAGGAGTATAATAATATGTATCAGAACATCCATAATGTGATCAGTTTGTGACACACAACTATGTACAATATTTAAACCTAAGTGATAATAACACTGTATTATAGTAAATATTGGTCATATCTGTGCAAATAAATTTTATTTTAATGCTAATATTTTTGAAAAAATCGCTTTGATTTATTAAATTTTTTATTAATTCCATTGCTAAATTTTTATAAACTTTTTTTACAAAAGTTTATTAGTTTAATAAAACTAAATAATAATCAATGTTTAAACAACTTAGGTCCTAAATTGATACTACGCAGTTTTCACTACAAAAAAAATTGCTCGTAGTCACGGACCGTAGTCACGGATTTGATCTGTGACTAGTTAGTCACGGTTCTAGTCACGGTTTAGTCACGGATTGACGGATTGTTTAAAAAAAATAGCCACGGATATGTTCGTGACTACGTCCGTGACTATGGTTAGTCACGGATGTAATCCGCGACTATGGATAGTCACAGATGTAATCCGTGACTAACCTGTTCCGGCCAACCCAATTTTGCCTCCGGCGGGTTTTTTTTAAATTTGAAATTAGTCACGGACGAGTCTGTGACTAATTCCGTGATAAGATACAAAATTAATTTTTTCAACGTTCCAAATTTATAGTGCATCGACAAATCGTACAAAAATATGTAGTCACGGACACATCCGTGACTACATGTTTTATATATGCAACCTCCGCTTCATTCAACAAAATCACGCCATCTATTCCAGATAGAATTCCAGATAGAATTGAAGGATGTAATCTACCCATCTCATATCATTTTCCCTGTTTATGTAGATAATGTATGTAATTTGAATTACGTATTTTTTGTATGAATTAGTTGGTTCATTTTAAGTGTAATAAATTAGAGAGATTATTGATTAAGCTAAGTAACGAATTATATATATGTCAATTTCATTTAATTTAGTGAAAAATAAGTTACTTAAACGTAGGTGTAATCGTAGTGACGCATTAAGTTAAATTAATTAATTAGCTACATTAGTTAATTAAACTTTTGTTAATATTATTAGTTAAATTTAAATTAAATGCATTTAAAAAGGTTGTTAATTAATTAACGAAATAAATTCCTTAAATTTAGTTAAACGTATGTGTAATTTAAACATAGGGTTAATTAAGTTGTATTTAATTAAAATTATGTAAATTAGTTAAATTATAGATGATATTATTAGTTAAATGTAAGTATTATTTAATTCAAATGAGTTTATATATGATTAAATATAATTATATGATTTCTTTATTAGCAATTATTGTTAAGGCAGCCTAATTTAGGATTAATAATGATTTAAATTAGGGTTAGTTAATTGAAACATTACTTAAGTATGTTGATTTATGATTGTGAATTACGTAAATTAGTAAAAAAAATTATAATATTAGTTAAATTTAAGTATTATTTCATTTAAATATGTTTATTATATATATATGCTCAAATTATTGGATTTGCTCATATTATTTAATTTAGTAAATTGTTAAATGTGCATTATTAATAAGATTAAGATGTTGATAATTTTAGTATTGTGGATTAAATGCCATTAACGTATTGTGCATGTTTATAGTTTAATAATATTAATTATTGGATGTTAGTTAATTTTAAGGGAATTTTAGTGAAATTTAGTGAAATTTAAGGGAATTAGTTAATTTTAAGGGAATTAGTTAATTTTAGTATTGTGGATTAAATTCCATTAACGTATTGTGCATGTTTATAGTTTAATAATATTAATTATTGGACGTTAGTTAATTTAAGGGAATTTTAGTGAATTTTAGTGAAATTTAAGGGAATTACTTAATTTTAAGGGAATAGTTAATTTTAAGGGAATTAGTTAATTTTAAGGGAATTTTAGAGAATTAGTTAATTTTAAGGGAATTTTAGTGAAATTTAGTAAAATTTAAGGGAATTAGTTAATTTTAATGGAATTTTAGTGAAATTTAAAATATAAATGTTCGTACACATAAAAAATTAACGTAATAATTTAGTGTATTTAGTGTTGAAATCAAAATTTTGGTTATTAGTTAATAATTTAAATGATTGCATTGAAATTAAATGAAAGCAGCCATCATTTGGACCATTAGCGACTTTCCTACCTATGACATGCTTTCGGGGTGAAGCACACGTGGTCTTATGGGATGTTCGATATGCATGGAGAAATCAGGTGTCAATTGGCTAACTTTCAGTAAAAAACCAAGCTACTTTGATTGTCACCGCAAGTTTCTCCCGGAAAACCACCGATATCGAAAGGACAAAAAGTCTTTCATTAGAGGTAGAGTGGTACGAGACACCCCGCCCCCGAGATTGACCGGGGAAGCAATTTTTAACCGGGTTCGACGTATTCCTACGGTTATGCAAGAACCAAATAAGAAGCCATATGGGTTTTGTAATACCCATAAGTGGACAAAGAAGAGTATATTTTGGGAGTTACCATATTGGAAAGACCTTTTCATTCGTCACAATATAGATGTCATGCACACTGAGAAAAACGTGTTTGACAATATATTTAACACAGTGATGGATTTCAAAGGCAAAACTAAAGACGGTCTTGCATTTTGAAAAGATATGACTATTTGGTGTGACAGGCCCGAACTGTCTGTTGATTTAGAATATCAGGGTAACAATATTCCAAAAGCAGTCTACCAAGTCACACAAACACAAAAGGAATCAATATTACAATGGTTTGTGTCTCTGAAGTTTCCAGATGGCTACTGCTCCAACTTGTCCAGATGCGTGGACATGGACAAACTTGCAACGACGTCGAGCATGAAAACTCACGATGCTCATGTAATCATGAAAAGACTTCTCCCAATTGCACTGAAAGAGATGCTTCCTGAACACGTATGGTCCTGTATTACTGAGATCAGTTTGTTGTTTCAGTCGGTATGCTCAAGCGTTTTGGATGCAGCATCCCTCCGTAGACTAGAAGAGTATGTTCCCATGCGGATGTGTAATTTGGAAAAGATAATGCCTTCATCATTTTTCGATGGAATGGAACATCTTGTAATGCATCTTCCGTATGAGGCTTTAAATGGTGGACCCGTCTTCTATCGCTGGATGTACAGATTTGAAAGGTTAGTCACAATTTCATTTATCTTTGAATATTTATTTCATAACAACATTAATATGTGTACCATTTTTATTTTACATTGCAGATTTCTTGGAGAGTTGAAAAAGAAAGTGACCAACAAGGCATACGTTGAGGCTTCAATTTGTCAAGCGTATCTTCAACAAGAAATCTCAACGTTCTCATCTTTTTATTTTGAGCGTGAAGTCATCACTAGAAGAAGGAGACCTGCCCGAAACGATGACATTGGCGAGGATTTATACGAAAATGTAGTTTCCATTTTCAATTACCCAGGTAGAGGTAAAGGAGCTTGGACAAACCGATACATCGTGGGAAAAGAATTACAAATTGCGCATACTTATATGCTCATTAATTGTCCAGAAATCTTACCGTTTTATCAGTAAGTTAAATTTGTAGTTATCTTTGTAATATATATACAATTAAGGTAGTTGATTTATAATATTTTCATGTTTGACTTCACAATGAATTTAGAGTGGAGCACTCAGCATTCTCTGACAATGAAATTGATGCATTGGTGGACTCTCATTTTATATTGTGGTACAAGTATCAGGTATATATACATACACACACATTAATTATATATATTATTAAGTTATAATTTTTAATAATTACCCAATGTTATCGTGTTTTAATTTACAGATCAATAACCGTGGAATTGTGGACCCTTTGTTAGTATCATTATCGTGGGGCCTTGGTGCCTACGCCAAAGTTTGGCGGTCATATGTGATAAACGGTTACACCTATCACACAGTCGGTTACGGACAGGGCCGACCAACAGTGAACGGCGGGTTATGTGTCCCAACCATCGGTTATGATAACTCGAAAACCAATTTGTTTGGTGTCTTGCATGAGATTCTCGAACTGGAAATGCCTTCTGCTGGGAAAAAGTTGACATGCATTTTGTTCCGCTGCAAATGGATCGATCCAACACGTGGTGTGCGAAAAAATTCAAAGTATAATATGATTGACGTCAACCACTCTCGCGTGTATACGAAAAATGAACCTTTTATACTCGCTCAACAAGCAGCCCAGATTTATTATGCAGAATACCCTTCAACCAGGCGGGCACAGAATCCTTGGGTGTGTGCATGTACTGTGCGTCCGAGAAAAATTGTATCACAAACTCAACACAAGGACGTTGATTTAGATGCTTTTCAGCAACATTTTTTCCAACCTCCGTCGATTGTTGAGACGGTCAACCATCACATTCAGCTAAGTGATCCAAATGGGGGAAGTGTTGAAGTCATGCCAATTCAATTATTCCTTCTAACAATCTAATATGATAAAAGGTAACCGGACAAGCCTTTATTTCCATGGCCCAACAACCACACTAAAACATACTAGACCAGAACACACAAGAGCATACTAATATTACTATTATTATTATTATTTTTATTTTTATTATTATTAGCATCATCATCATCATCATCATCATTATATTATTATTATTATTATTATTATTGTTATTATTATTATTATTATTACTATTGTAATTATTATTGTTATTATTATTATTAATGTTATTATTATTATAATTACTATTATTATTATTATTATATTCTGGACAATTTAAGTATGGTCTGGTCTAGTCCGGGACTGGAATCAATCCTAGTAAAAACGTTACATCTTTTGATGATTTGGAAGGAAATTTATTATTTTTAATTATATATAAATAAAAATTAATTATTTATGAATTATAATATAAAAATAATACTTTGGTTAGAATAAAATTTCATACCAGACCATAAGTTTTTTCGCAAAATAAGAGTGCCTATTGTTTTCCCAAAATAGATTTAATTTCACCCATCACTCCCTTTTAATAACTTTTTAGGATGTTTTTACTTGGATTGAAATTTGCTGATTTGGTCTGAATTGATCTGGTCTTGTAATGTTTAGTCTCTGTGTATTTTATAATTATGGAAGTTTGATCTGGTCTAATATGTTTAAGTCTGGTTGGACTTAAACATCCTTACTGGTATAACTAGTACTCCGTATAACTAGATAAATTCTGTTTTGGGAAGAAATTAGACTTTCACCTATTTTAGGATTTTATCTATATAGTTTCACTTCTACATTATTCAGTTATTTCTTTTAAGTTTTTCGGTCAATCAATTTAAAAATTAGTTCTTTCCTATTGATAATTAATTTGATTTTAATAATTAAATTTTATATATTTAGAAACTACACTAAAATTTCTATAAGATTGTAAAATCCAAATTAAATAAAAATTAATTAAGAATTGATATCTCAATTAAGTGAATAAAATGAATATGTTAGATCCAAAACACGCAATTTTACAACTCAATTCAGGGGTAGAAAGCATTATTAGGGAGTGGTTAAATTTATGTATAATCGATGAGTCATTGTAGCAACCTTGAAATGGAAGGGAAGAGAAACAATAAAATTAAGATTATTATGAGGAGTTAATTGTATTAAGGAATAATGCCTTCCTTAACAATAAATTTAACTCACGAGCGGACAGTACAACACAAACAGCCAAACCCAAACATCACACGTCAATAATAATGAAAATGAAGCTTCTAAAAAATCAAAGCAACAGAGAAATTAAAAATATTAAGGTACAACATTTCAATGCAAGAATACAATAACCATCAATAATCATGCATAATCATAGATGAGATGAGATAATTAATTGATTAATTAGTGGCAGATGAAGCCAGGAGGAATGGTCCTGTGGCAGGCACCGACGACGGCGCCGAGAGCAACCGGCACGGCCAGGTTCAGCCCAAGAACGTTCGCCTTCAGGGCAGTGCACAGGCAGGCGGCGGCCTCCATGTCAGCAAGCCCTTCAAGAAAGCTGCAGCACGGACTGGTCGGCGCGTGACCGATCTCGATGTTGATCAGCCCGCCGAGGAGGTCGGTGCACACCCCCAGCTTCAGCGCGTTCCTCGGGCAGTGGTGGTAAAGGTCCACCGGCGGCCCCTTGTGGGTCAGAGTGGTCGGCTTCGGCCTCGTCTCAGGCTTCGGCTCCGTCGGCTTGCATGGCTCGCCGCACGCCACTGCCAGCGTGGCTAGCAGAAGGCTGGAGACAATGAATATGGCTTTGGTGGCTGCCATGGCTGAAATTAAGCTAAGTGTTGGTTTGCTTTAGGGCTGGCTAGCTGGAAGATGGTACTAAATGGGGAAGGATAGTGAAGCTTATATAGGGAAAAAATTGTGAGGTTTGAGATGGAAGAATGATTGAGTGGAAGAGAAGGGGGAAACAAGATTGTGCTGTACCAGTTGGAAGTTTTGTAAGTTTCTGAAAAAAAATTATTGTGATGCATGTTATAGGTTCTTGGTTAATTATATATATATACGTACCAGCAAAGGGTGAGGCTATAGTTGTCATTTCCCATTTGTATCATTTCATTATATCATACTCCCTCCATCCCTTAAATCTTTAAAAACTTTCCGTTTTGGATGTCTCAATAATTTTGTCACTTTTACTTTTAAGTAAAGAATTTGTGGTTCCAGATAATTCTCTCTCCTCTGCACAAACCTCAACCACACAGTTTTTACTTTATAAATTCTCGTGCCAATCAAACTTGACAAATTTTTAAGGGACTTATGATTTCTACCACTCAAATTTCAAGTCACTGTTAAAATTTGTGGGACTGTTTGATTCTGCCTCAATATTAATTGTACTGGTGAAGAGTGAAACAAATTTGACTTCAATAATTGAATAAGTTGGAAGGGTAACTTGAGAATATAATTGAGATTCATAACTAAAAATCCCATTGCTTAATAGTCTTGATTTCATAACTAAAAATTAAAGTTAACTGTTTTTTGTTAGATTCATTCTCGATATTTATTGTTTAAAACATATGCATTACGTTGTTAATTAGATTTCTTACGGTGTATATACTTTATTCAAGTTAAATACGAAGTACTCCGTATATGTTTTATAGCCTTGGCCGCTTGACTACTTGTTATAATCTCCAATAAGTTAGAATCCCCAAACTCACGTCCCAACCCAACAAGACATTTCAGTGAATGTAATCTTGACTCGGTCAGCTCAATTCCAATAATGGTAAATTTTGTATTCATACGCATCAGAGATCCAATCCAACACACAACTTTTTTTCATAATGACACTATTTTATCTTGATGCTTTAACTTGAATGTACGCTTTTGCTGTTATTGATATTATTGATATATGGAGTACGACGATAAGTTTAATCCATCCATGATTTTAAATGTACGAGATTTGAAGGATCAAGTGTGTCAATATAGGGGCTTGAACGGTTGAAATCTATCAATCTAGTACATAGAATTTCATATATAGATTTTGATTTTATTCTTAAAATAATAAAAATCTATCATAACAAATTAAGTTCTAGATCGATAGTTTTCAATCACTCATGCCCAAATCCAAAATATTTGATCTTTCAAATCCTAGATTTATAACTCATCTGTCTTCGAGATCCTAGATTGATAAAATTTTAAAACGTAAGATATGTGTTCAATTAATTATTCGATCATAATCAAGAATACGTGCGTTCTGTAATGTGTAAATTAAAGTTTCGAAGGTTTTTGTTCTCTTTTTTTCCAATTTTTTTTGTATCAAGTTGAATTGCTATTAATGTTTGTATTTAATTTTGTATGTGGTACGTTCAAAAAAAAAACTTTGTGTGTGGTATGCTTGTTTTTTGTTTTGCATTAAGCTAGTTTTCTATTTTAAACAAAAAGGATATGGAAGTAGTTTTGTTTTGGCATACAGGTCAAATTATATGGAGTATATGTATGTTAGCACTACGGTGACGGCAACTCTTTTCATTTTCCATATGAATAAATTATCCTAAATAGGATTAAAACATAGTTAAAATTCCAAAATAGAACTTAAAGTCTATTATTCCCTAAATAGGATTGCTGATTACATTTTTGCTCTTCCTTTAATTAAACTCTAGATTCGCCGACTCCAATATGAAGAAACAGATAGAGATGTGTAGAAAGCATTCCTAATTTCCGATCTCATCTGCGATGAAGAAACAGAGATGCGTAGCAAGCATCCCTAATTTCCAAACTCCCAAAGCTCCAATGAAGCCGGGTAATTTTCTCCAACTCCTTTCTCTTCTTCTCCTTCCTTCTCTTCTCTTCCACTCTTCTCTTCTCTCCTGTACGACTCTGGTCTATTTTAGTTTTCTTGATTTTCACTTTAACACTTCTTACTTTTGAGATTTTAAACAAATTATTTTGATTTAGATTTTGGATGAGAAATTAAAACAAGGTTCCAAAATTGATTTGTTTATTCATTTATATCTAATATGTATTTGAAAATTTCACTTTTTGGATATGAGAATGCCACTTTTATGTCATCTTTTCATAGGATAATAGCATAATTTCCTATGAATATGTCACAACTATCATTGTGAAAGTGTCATCCTTTTACAGTAGAAAATGTCATCTTTTATGTGAAAATGTCATCTTTTATATGAAAATGTCATAGTTTACACTTTGATTTCACAGTTTTTAAGGAAATAAACACTGTTTGGCCCTGTTTGGCCTTATTTGACAAATAAGGCAAATAAGGAAGTGTAAAGATCTTTCTGGTACTGCTAAAAATGGAAAGTGTAAAGATCTTTCAGAACAGGAAGAAGTATAATTTACGATTTATCTTGTGTATAAGCCCAATATGGCAATATAGTAAATGTCGCTCCTAGGCTCGGAAATAGACAGATCACCAGTTTGAAATATAGGTTAAAACTTAGAGAAACTTTAACTGTCAATGTAATTTTCTTACATGTGAGCACAAGTATGTGAGCTTAGATGGGAGCTGTTACAAGAATAGCCGGCCCGGCCTAGAGGGATAAGGCTACATTATTTGGTTAGGTGTTGGAGATAGCACATGCGTAGAAGTAGCGCGAGGCCAACCTACAAAACAGAAGAGACGTACTAAGCTACTCACTAGTGCACCATCGATCATTTGGGAATGAATGGACATTCCCTTTCTCTCTTATTGCACTTCTTGTGTATGGCTTCCATCAATCAATCGCATACACCATGCCTAAGCTAATTAGGTATTACGGGACTTTTCTATCACATATACAAATCAGACATTTATCACCCTTTTATTATACTCCTCCGTTCCGGAATTATCTTCATTCTTTCCTCTTCGGTTTGTCTCAAATTTATCGCCTCTTTCCCTTTTTAGCAAAGAATTTGTGGTTCACAACCATTCTTACAGATTTCTCTTTCCTCTACACAACTCTCCACCACACATTTCTCACTCTCTTGATCCGTGTGCTATTTGTACTTCAGGAGATAAATATGTAACGGAGAGAGTATCAAATAATTCACTCCAACCTTTCTACTAAAAAAGTGTCAAACAAATAATTTAAACACTCCAACCTTACAATTTAAACCCAACAACTTTACACAAACAATCAAATTTATAATTTGTTGGAAAAATGGTTTTACAAATTAATATTATGGTCAATTTGGAGCTAAAATATGCTAGACACTCACGTCTCTATTTTAATAGGACTAAGTTTTTAATAGAATATTAATTAGGCTTATTGTTTCCTAGTATGTTTAAAACTCTCTTATATATATATATATATATATATATATATTCAGTTCAGGACTCCTATTGGAGTACCTTTTCCCAAAATCTCACATCGTATCAGAGCCTAGGGCAAAGCAATTTTTTTTTCCGACTGCATCTTTTTCCTTCTCACAGTTTTAACATATTAGTCTCCGTGAGATGAATGTTGTAATATATTATTTGTAGAAAACCATTTTTTGGAAGCAGGTGGCTTATAATAATAAGAGAGAACGTAAGCAGGTTACAATCAGACAAAGAACCCTAAGTCTGATGTCTGCACTTGAACCATACTCTGAATCTGCCACCTCGACTAATGAAGCAACAAGAATCGTTGATCCTGAATTGGGCTTACATGAGCCAATGACTAGCAACTAAGTTCCTCATCACCTGTCCTAGGTTCAATAGTGTTAACAAAATTAAAAATAAAAACAAACAACCAGACTCGATGTCCAACGCATAAAAAAATAGAAATAAAAGTAGAGCTAAAAGTAGCATCAACTGTGAAAATCCATATGATCCCAAACTTCACTCGTTTTGGCGGGTCTGGGTGCTACAGCCTACCTCTTCCCTGTTTTTTTTATCCTTCCAGGACCATAGCATCCTCTTCTGTTTAATCCAGCTCCTGTTCCCGTGCTTCCCATGTCCGTCTTCTTTTCTACTCACCGGAACCTCCCATCTCGGTCTTTGAATCATCCTCCGCCTCCTGATCCTGGACTCTTATACGGTTCTGCCCGCCCTGGTTATCAATGGTCTTTGTTTGCAACCCTGTGTAGTCTCTCCCTATTCCTTTCTCTCCTACGAGCCATTTATTGCCTATAGGTGGACGAGCTCTTTCCACCCCCGCTCTTAGCCACGACCCATATTGTTTCACAACCACTAAATCACCCTTGTCATATAAAGACGGACAAATTTTTTGAGCATGTCCGATGACTCCACATGCAAAGCAGAAGCTGGGGAGTTTCTCATATTTTGAAATCTACCCAATATTCCTCCCCCTTCCTCTTTTTCAATGTCGTACCTGCCTTCAGAGGTTTCTTCACATCCAGTATAACCCTAATCCTCATATAAGCTTCCCATTTATCATCAAATTGCTTATCATCCCAATATACAAATTTCCCCAAATAGTTCATGATTCTACGAGCATATCCCAAATTTGAAAATCCATAAGGTATGTTATGAACCTGAACCCAAAATTCAGCCGTTCTCCAACCCCAAACCTCTGTACTGATCGGCTACCTCTCCACACTCCTCTCGCCGGAAACCGCCGCAGCTTCCTCCATCGCCGCTGGGTGTTCTCCCTCCTCGCCGTTGATCCCTTTCGCGGTCTGTTGCCTGGTGCTATTGCTCCCCTGGATTCTCGATCGATTGCTTACGTACCACAGTGAAGTGGGCGAAGACATCGCGCCACTACTAAGCCGCACGTTTTCGGCGGAAACTCTCAAACCCCTACGAGAGGGAAACGTCCGCTAAAAAGTTAATGACTTTAATCTTTAAAAAAGGCAAATATTTGTAGAAAATCATTTTGAAATGAATGTGAAATTATCCCTCAATAATGGCTTAAAGATAATATTTATATCTTTTATTCCCTATTTCAGATAAGGCTTGGTAGAAAGACATGACTATAGAAGAAGGGTCACAACTTTTCTTTCTAAAGGTGCCTTTTGGGTGTAGAATCTTCTGG